TTTTTAAATGGGAGAACTTGCACAATTGGTGGCTGACTAAATACTTTTTTGTCCCACTGTATATATTTCTAAACACCATGCATGCCATTAACCTTTTTGTTCATTCCTAAATATTCATTCAGAAAGTAATATTAGTTGATGGGTACTGATTTACCTTTTCAAGCAGATTTCTGCCACCTGCTGTGACATAGTATTTCTTGAGATGCAGCATCTTCTTATTAGGAAAAAGAATGCTGCAATTATATAATTTTGTTAATCCACTCTTACTAGAAATTAAAATACAGTGTTGCTGCATTGATTAGAGTTGATTTGTAAGTGTAATTGAATGAGTCTATGATATGCATGTGTTCCTCTATATTTTAAATATAAGGAAGCATTTTATACTTTTAATAATGAGGATGAAAAATGGGAATCTTTCTTAGTGAGAAAAAGCATGAATTATCTATGCTTCTTATATTCAAACTGAATATGAGTTTTCTTCAGATTTTTTGCTAATACAGCTAACTGAAATAGTTTTTTGTAGTTATAAAGAAAATGGTTCTTTTCTGTTTCTATTTCATGTTACAAATGTAATGTATGTAGATTATTTTCCATTATTTCTTCTAAAAATTTGAGTGGATCATCTGTACCCATAATTAATAAACCATGTAATAGGGCTAAAAACACATTCACTTTAGATTAGGGCTATAAAAGTCCCATGCTTTATCACATAAGTCTAAGGTCATCTTTAGCTTCAGGCTTAACTCTGGATCAATACACATTCAGGTAGTCCTTGACTTACAATCATTTGTTTAGTGACCATCTGGTGTTATGATGGTGCTGAAAAAAGTGACTTATGACTGGTACTTGCACTTACAACCATTTTAGCTTCCCCATGGTCATCTGATTAAAATTTGGGTGCTTGGCAACCAGCATGTATTTACAACAGTTGCAGCGTCCCAGGGTCACGTGATTGCCATTTGTGACCTTCACAGCCAGCTTCCAACAACCCAATTCAATGGGAAACCATGTGATTCACTTACTGACTGCATGATTTGCTTAATGACCACATGGTTCGCTTAACGACTGCATCATGCCTCGCTTAACGATGGCACCGCTTAACAAAGAATTTTCCGGTCCCTGTTGTGTGGAATTACCTGTATTCCTTAACATACTACAGTTTATAGACAATATAATATAGTAGACGTTTAAGTTTAAAGGGGGGGGGGAGTTTCCTGTATCAGAAATTATTCCACTCAAGAAACTGATAGTCCCTTTTGTATCTCCAATGGAGATGAAATTACTGATAATAATACTTGTACTTCTAACTGCAAATAATATTCAGATGATACTGAGAATGTCTTTTGACTGAAACTTTATTCTGAACATGGTTTCATAGATTCCATTAATGCATATGCAAGTCTATATTCATAATTAATGCCTATGTATACCAAATACAGAGGCACACATATCTTGGCCATTTTTGTGTGCAACATAAACATCGGTATATTGGTTGTTTATACACATACATGAAATATATACATGAAATATGCTCACACACACACACACAAATATGCATGAACAAACTCAACATAGACATCTACATGTAGATATCAAGAAATAGAACTCTTTGGAGAATATTAAGCTAAGCTGGACTGAAGACAGAGCTGATTGGTTTACATCTGGTTAAACTTTACATTACTACAACTCCTTCTAAAAAGGATTTGCTATGCATAGCTAATATACTCTATTTTGCATAATAAGAATTTTGAATTTTTCAGTGAACCATATATAAATATGTTGCTAAGTATCACCTATGATGAATCACAGTAGTTATATGAAAAAAAAAATCACTGCTGGTTGTTAGTGTTGTATTTCATTTTACTTTGATCTTTAAAAGGGAAACATATGGGAACAAGTTGTACGCATTCCTTTTCTGCTGGAAATCATCAATGCTATTCCTTTCATCATTACAGTAAGTTTCTATCCATTATTTTTATGTGAGAGGGAAAGAACGAGTAACTAAAGGACTGGAAAATTGTATTTCTGAAATGAAAAACCTTTGGAGCAAAGTTTTCTTTGAATCTGCAGAAAAACCTTGAGGTCCATTCGATTCTGGTGCTCAGTACAAATTTCTTGACTTTTGTTTTTGCTTTTTCATTTTAATCATGGACAGATGACTTGTGTTCTCTAGTCCTCAGGAAGCCTCATTCATTTTTCCCACAGAATAATTGATTACTTATTAGTTACATAGTAGAGATTGAGGCAACTCTTTGTATAAGAATCTGAGATTAGGGAGGCAGTTCCATTGCAGATAGGAATGCTGTTTTTTCATTGCTAGTAATAGCAAAAGAAAAAACATTTTTCATCCGCTAATCCCATTGCCATATAGATTGTGCCTTCCAAGCCATCTTTTATCATGTGTGATCCTTGAAGAATGAAAAGATTACTTGTGATACATGTCTCTTGCAGTTGATTCTGTTTGATGGATCTCAGAATTCAATTTAAAAGAAAGTAAGCCCTTGTAAATCTGAAATCTGCTGTTCATTTTGTACAACTCCTAGCATCAAATGTGCCGTATGGAACCTTTTTTTTAATCATCATCTTCACCAGCAGGCATGCCCACACACATACATACACCTATAGACTATAAATTTCTTGGTCCTAAGTCAAGCAAGCAAACTACAATTAAATTTAGGGAGGCACAAATAGCAGTTGTTATCCCGTTGATAATTCAGTTCTACTTATTTTGGCTTAGAAGTAAGCTTCATTTCAGAAATAAGTTTCTGGTGATGGTATCAGGACAATAACTTTAAGTAAGAATTGGGATTGTAAGAGAATATATCAAATATCAAAGTTGTCCCTGCTCAGGTGAATTTTTGCCTGTAGTTTTGCTAGCTTTGCTGTTGTCTAGCAAAAAAAAACACAGCTACATGAAATTTAATCATATTAGATGTATTTCCTCTTTTTTTTCCTTGTATTTGGATGCAATTACATTAAACGAATGTTTGGAGGATACATATAATATGTTGTGTCTTTTTCTTTAGATTTTCTGTCCTGCATTAAGAAATTTATTTATCCCAGTGTTTTTAAATTGTTGGCTTGCCAAGCATGCTTTGGAGAATATGATTGTAAGTATGACAAAGTAGATGAGATTTGTTTGAAGGGGAAAGAATTCATATTTTCTGCGTCAATGCAAAAAGAAACTGTGTGTTCTATAGTCCACTTAAACCATGGCATTTGCATTCAAGCCATTGTAAATTCATGGGAATAAATTGGCTTAACTTCAGATATGTTAGCTTATTTGCTTTTTGAACATTGAAATTGTTGTATTGTTGGGATTTTCAATCTTCTGTTTTATCTTCATGTGATATAGCTAGTTTAGGAATCCAAATGTGTTATCTATTTTGATAATAAAACTATTGGTCCAGCATTAATTCCTTTGATTCATTGGATTGTTTTTTTTCCAACCTCCAGCTGAGGATCTTTTCACGTCCCAGTTTGACAAAGACCAATTATACTTGGCTTCTATACTATGCTGTTATGCAGAACATGGGGGGGGGGTGGAGAAAGAAAGAGTGTGGGAAATGGCCAAAGAACCATACTTATTTATGCTTAATATACTTGGCTTGGAGGCTTGCAGTCAATTTGAAAAATAAGAATGGGACTAAAAATGGGCAGCAAAAGTTCTTATTAAAAGGCATAATGCTGCTCCATTTTTAAAATATGCTGCAAATTTCAAGTTCGGTGCTGTTGTAATCTAGGCAAATGTGATACAAACATTAGCATGGGTTCAAGAATTTTCATTTGAATTGTGAATTTATTGAGAAGCCGATTAATTTTTAGGGTTGATTCTCCATCTACTAAGTAGGAATAACAGTAGTTATTATGTGCATTACAGATTTATTGTGACTCGGTCACAGATAAAACTATTGTTATCCATACAATGACTTCCTGCTAGTTGGACTGTTGTAATTTGTTCTATAGATTTTGCCCCTTGGCCCTCCAGAAGATGCAAAATATGCAGAATTTGTGCTCCATTTCCTATCATGTACAGATTGTAAAACTGAAGTTATATTACCCACTGTTTCTCATTCTGAATCAAAAGTCTTCTTGTTTATTTCTTAAGCTAGAATATAATTTTAAGGACTATGGTTTCATATATAGTTAGTTGATGTTTATTGACCCCCTTTCTGATATTCCAAATGAAAGAGCATGGCATGGTATTGTTTAATGGTAATGTTAGCCTTGATGTCACCTGGTTTCAGAAAGTCTGATTAACTTTTTCATTATTTAACTGCACTACCTTTTTAATTTTAAAAAATTGCATCCTTCTTGACTGTTGCCTCACATTTTATTTAATGAGCTGGTTTCACAGTCTTGTTTGTTGGTTGGGTTTTTCATTTTGAACAGAATGATCTTCATAGAGCCATCCAGCGCACACAGTCTGCAATGTTTAACCAAGTTCTGATTTTAATATCTACATTGCTGTGTCTTATCTTTACATGGTAAGTTCCATGTAGTTATATTATTACTGCTGTAATTCCTGAACTGTGCTATTTCAGGACAGTTCTAAGCTTGTCCTGTTTAAGAAAATAAATAATGACACTAAGAGGAAGGAATAGTAGGAAAGAATATGTAAATAATCTCCATTATATGAAAGCATTACAGTTCAGGTAATAATACATACTCTCTTAATCAAGCGGGAGATAAAACTGACTGTATATTTTCTCAAGGAATTGGTGCAGGAGGGAAGCTATTCTTTATACACCCCTAACATTGAGACAGAGGTAAATATTATAAATCACAATACTGAAAGGCTTAAGGAAACATGACAGATTTGGTTATTATATCTGTTTTTCAATATTTTAAAACTCATTTCTCCTTATGATTTAGCATAAATCCTGAAATCAAATATGAGTCTTAAAACTGATGAACTTTTAACATGCTTTCTTTTCAAACCTTTATAAAACACTGAACCACACCATTTTGCATTTCTAGTATTTAAGGGCTTTGATCTCACTCCTTTTATAGGATAATTGCCAAGGGCTGATACAATATTACAAAGCATGTCTCCTTTTCTTCCTAAGTCTTCCCTTTCTTGATTGCGGGAAACAAAAATATCCGAGAGCAATCTCAAATCTATGACTGATAAGGAAGCTAGTGCTGCTTGCAAGGGAACATTATGTTCAGGTTCAGCCTGTGTTTTGTAACTGACAGGAAAAGATGAAGAAAATGGCAAGTTGACCTACACCAATTATTGCTGCCTTCTGCATCTGCAGATACCAGCTTATTATGTGCCATTTTATTCTGGTCTTGTTCTAGCCCTTGTAGAATGGGGAAAAAATAGACTAAATACCGACAAAAATACCAATGACACACTTGTTAGCTAAGGAAATAAAGCAGTTTGCAGTTGTCTATAATGGTAATTGAAATCACATGCCTTAAAACAGTCCTCTGTTGATTTCCCTTTTGTTTATATTGCTGTTCCTTTGAATCTTTTAATTACTGCATTTATATCTTTAAATAATCACTAGTAAATATTAATATTTTGGATAATTGCTTACATATACTGATTGTTATAGTCTGCCAGGCAACTGTGAAATAATTTTTGTAAGAGCTTATATTACTTTTACTGCTTCATGCCTTAATACATGGGTAGCCCTGGATTCTTGCTTAGTGGCATGAACGTGTGCCAAGGCAACAAGGGAGAATCAGAGGTCTCAAGAGACAAGTGCCAGTGTGGTTGGGTAGCACTGTAGACTGGCAGTTGCTTGACCATATTCTAGTTTGTATTCTGATCACAGTCTAATCATCTGCATAAAAACAGAGGGAGATACTCTGTGTCAAGAGACCAAGTCTCCCCACCTTCCAGGTACCTTATATTTCACCTCTTTTCCATCAACTATTAATGAGGAAATAGAAGAGGATTCACACTCAGATACTTTTCTATGTCAGTTTGTTTGTTTGAAAATTTGTTGCAAAAAGCAGCTTAATCAAAGTGGGTTTCATGTGGACATTGTGCATTGATCTAGAAAACTCAGAGCTGTACTTAACACTCCATTTTTTCCTAAAATACAAACAAGCTAATATGTAAACAAATAAATCAATTAGAGAGCAACCTAGACTGATACGAATAGTCCTCTATTAGGCATGGAAGCCAGCTGGGTAACTGTGGGCCAGGCACTCTCTCTCACCCAAACACACCTCAAAGAATTGTTGTTGTGGGGAAAATAGGTAGAGGGAGCACTATGTGCACCATCTTAAATGGTATGAAATAAAGGAAGTATAAATCAAGCAAACACATAAATCAGAATAGTTGGAAAAATTGCCTGGAAAAAATGGCCTGGTTAAACATATTTAGCTTAAAAAAGAACTGTTCTCTGCCTGAAACATGATATAAAGACTCAAGAGTTCTGCCCAGTCATATTTTAGAAAAAAAAATAACTGCAAGTAAATAAATTAATAGCCAAGTTTAATTGATGACACTTTAGAACGACAACCTCATGTTTTAGCCATTATGAAATTCTACTTAGGACAATTTGTTTCAATGTCAATTTTCCACTGATATCTGGATCATAAATTCAGGGGCCCAGGGAGACCCCAACCTTTATCACTATATTATGCTCTCTCCCTCTCTCATCCATTACTTTGTTACAAATATATAAACATGAGAAAAATGCACATTTGGCAAAACGGCATTTTGAATGGAATGCCAGGAGCTGCTTTCCCCCAAAAACAAGCTAACAGATCTGATATTTTCTTACTATTTACTTCATTTTTTCCACTCTATGAGGTTCTGAACAGGACCGGAATATAATGGCACATAGTAAGCTGGGCCCAGGATGAAGAACTAGGCAGAGCTAAGGAAAAGATACAAGACCGAGTGTGGTGTAGAAGTTACGGTGTTCATTTAGGTTCAAGGCCAGTGATGGGAACTCACTGGACTTTGGGTCAGTAGCATACACTTAACCCAACTTACCTCACCAGGTTCTTGTTGTGAATAAAATAAAGGGGATACCTGTGTAAGCTATCTGGTATTCCTCAATTAAGAGTAGGATTTTAATCTAATAAAACATAATAAAAGCTAATTTTGATTTCATTTAAATAAATTAAAGTTTAATTTAGTTTAACCAGACAATATGGTCCATGCAGTACATGAAGTGATAAAATGTAAATCATTTTGTTCTTATGTCATGTTACAAAATACAATTTTATGATGAAAATAGTTGGACGAAGGTCTCTGAGGGAGGCATCTCAGTTGTAGCTACTTGCAGGTCACCAATTAACCTAGTTTTATTTATATGCTCCATTCTGCTGCTGTGTTCCATGTTTGAAATATTGTTTTAAAACTTTATGATATGGAATATTGGAGCTGACTAATCATTTCTCAATTATGATTCAACAATTATATAGCACTCTAAATTATTCAAAATATTTATCATATGTCATCTCAGGAATTCTGACTTGTATTTTTTCATTCCCTTATGCCTAATAGCATGCACTGAGGGAAAGGAAAGATTTATATGCGAAGACTGCAAGTTTGTTCTTCATTCATTACACTAGCATCTTTACTTTATATCTTTTCTGTACTTTCAAACATGTATATTCTAAATAATATACATTATTTCTCCAATATGTTCAAGAAAGATTAATATGACAAAATTTTCAAAGAATAACTGGGATTTAAAATGTTATCTGTTTTGTATCAGGAATGGGGTTTTATTTTACTGACAGAGAAAACTAGTTTCACTGTCTATTACGGTCTCTGATTTATTAAAGTAAATTATATGAACATCTTTCCTAACAATTTGCTTTGTGTTCACCCAATGTATTTATCACAGGTTTTGAATGAAGCAGCCTTTATTTTGGATTTCATTAAATGTGCATTGGGGATTAATATCTGTTTGAAGTCTCTTCCATCTTGCTTAGATTACTCAAATAATTGTCATTTATAACCATGCCTTATTTTTGATAATGTCACAGAGGAGTTGTGATATTTACATAATATACAATCCTTCATAGAATTATTTCAGATGGGGCTTCTTGGGTAGCAGGTAGACTATGGTTATAGAGCAGCTTGAGCTCCAGTGGTGCAAAATAGTGGCTAATTGATGTCTCTACACAGTTTCTTCTAGGAGAATGTGAGATTGCTGTTGGCTTTCCTATCTATTCAGGCTTGTGAACCAACATATTCACAAAATTCTGGTCATTTGGGAGGAAATGCTCTCATTATGACATAATTTTCCAGGCCTCCCCCTTGAGTGGGGGTGCTTAATGTTATACAGTATGACATTGTTAACACAGTTATATGTATAGTTTGATATAATAAAGTCATTAATTAGAAACTTCACAACACTTTATTTGTGCCACATTCATTGTCCAAATCTTAGCAGTCAGTGAAGTCATGTGTGACTCCACTACTCAGAAATCCAGGAGTTGTTTGTCTACTCCAAAGAGCAAACATGAGAATGACGTTGGAGTTCTGGAGATTCATTTAATTCTGCCTGATCTAGTGTCTGGCAAGTTAGGCACAGCAAGTAGTCTTTGCCTTGCTTGCCAAGCATCTCAACCCTTGCTTCCCAGAGGTTAGGCAACTTTGTACACCCACTGGTTGTCAAATCTGTAAGACATCATGTACAGCAATAAACTTCTTCATTTTTCCTCCCCTAAAACCCATAATGAGAGTCAGTTTGGTCTAGTGGTTAAGGCACCAGGCTAGAAACAGGGAGACCATGAGTTCTAGTCCCTCCTTAGGTATGAAGCCAGCTGGGTGATCTTGGGCCAGTCAGTCTCTCTCAACCCGAGTAAGGAAGCAATGGCAAACCACTTCTGAAAAACCTTGCCAAGAAAATTGCAGGGACTAGTCCGGGCAGATGCCAGGAGTCAAAAACTGTCTCGAAGATGCAAAGAAAAAAAAAAACCCACCAGCACCAAAACCCCATAATGGAGTAAGAAAAAGCTTCAGTATATATAGGCAATGCTAGAATTCAGCTGGTCTTTAAGTATTGGTTTAGAAGGAATTAATGAATGTAATATATGATTTATTAATAAGACACATGGATTTAGCGAGAAATTGTTAACATCTATGTACCGTACAACACAATTCAATGGAGAAATATGGTGTCATTCTTCAAGTATTGCTATGTAACAGATGCAAGTGCTACAGCTTAATGGTAAATAACCTGTTTTGCAAGTTTGAAGTTCTAAATAGGGCTGATAAAGTCTTCTGTAGATGGACCTTAGTGTCTGGCACACAATAAGACAACTTTTATATTCCTGTGTAGCCTAGAAACATAATCAGTAAGTGAATGCCAAGCATTCTGGAAAGGCTGTAGAATTCAATATTAGAAGATTACATTCTGTGCTCTGCAGACTACAATACAAAATCAGTTTGCAAAAGCCCAGTGAGCTTATTCACATAGTATGTCCTCCCTACAAATGATGACCTGTTACATTCCAAAGTGTGAGAACAGTTTATGATAGCATGTAGAGAAAGCATTGCCAT